AGAGAGAGAGAGAGAGAGAGAGAGAGAGAATATGAGCGATTGCCACGCGGGGGTGCGCACCCCTCCCCCCGGCAGCAGGGGAGGGGGGTGGCGAGGGACGCGACGAAGGAAAGACGGCGCGTGCACCATCGACGAATGCACCGGCGCGCGGCGAGCGCATCGCGGGGGCGTTCATGGGGCGGGGGGCGGGGGTGGAGGGTAGATCTGCCGCATAGCGTGCGGATATAGAGTGCACCGGGGGAAGAAACTCGGTGACTCGGTCGCGTATTCGCGCGTCAGTCGGTTGCTATGCGTCCGGGCGAGGAGGTGGCGAACGCGGCGCGCGACCCGGATCACCGTCCCTGATAAGGGGGAACCCCGAGAGCCCGCGGCTCGGCATCGCGGCCCGGGCGGCCGGACGGCGACGAAGGGGGACGACGACGAGGACGACGACGAGGACGGCGGGGACGACGGCGAGAGGCGAACGCGCGTACACCCGCGCGCGCTGTTCAGTCCTTACCGCGGCGACGGCGACGACGGCGACGGCGACGGGAGCAGCGCCTGCCGCGCGACGACACGATTATTAGACGACACCCCCCGGGCGGGCGGGCGAGCCACGAGCACATGGTTCGGCGATCGCGACTACGACCATGATCGCGAACGACCGTGCCGCGCCGATCATCGGCCTCGTCTTCGTCGTCCTGGCGGCCACCCTCGATCGCGGTGAGTGCCGATCGAACTCGGCAATCCCGTTCGCAGAAAGAGAACGAGATCGCGCTGTCCCCCTTTCCTCTCCACCCTCCCCCACCGAACAGCGATCGATTGAAACGGCGAGAGACCTTGAGGGGGGGCCTCGATCCCGCGGCGATCGAAGGATCGATATTCGCGCGATATCGCGAGAAAGATCTCTCCCGTGGTTTTTTTTTTAATTATTTTGCACGCTCGACATCCTCTTTGCGCTAATTGCGGCGAATGTAGGGTGTATTGACAGTAGGGTGACGTAACACGATTCTTATTTCAGGAGAAGAGCAAACTTTTTGGGGGGGCGAAGACTCTACTTTGAGAAGCGCATTTGACGCTTTTTTACATGTTCCACTTTGTCTTACAAAATATTGAAGGCTGTTATAATAATGCATAAATTGTGAATACGTATTGCGAGACAAATATTATGGCCGGTATTCATAATCGGATCTTATATTCAAGACCGTCTTAAAATCTAAAGCTGTAGGGAACATTTCATTGGCTACGGAGTGTCTAAAGATGATCCTAAGACGGTCTTGAATATACGATCTGACTATGAATACCGACCTGTATGTTTGAAAGCTATCACAGTTTGCATTAGCGGTAGTAGAACAAGCAAATGCCTCAAACGCGTTTTCGAAGTCTGCCTCCCCTGCGTTACGCAGACGCGACTCGTCGATCGATGTCGGTTCGACGGGGTCGATCTTCGACGATCTCGTATCTCACCGGGTGGTCTCGTTCGCAGAAATTTGATCCTTTTGACTTTTCACAGAGACCGGATTCCGCTCGCCTGAATAATGCCGAATCATGTTCGAAAGACATTTAAAAAAACCCGCGCGTACATATATGACTAGCGCGGCGGACTCTATATCGTCAAACTCGCGTTGGTTTCCATCGATGCGGTGCTTCCCGGAACAACACCGGGGAGATTGCTCGACAAACGTACGGAGACAAGTTGAACGGCGAGATGTTTCCCGAGGGAATGTACACGGTTTCGTACACGGACACTTGGAAACTCTCGGCAGGAAATTTGAGCGAGCGCGCACCCCCTCGCGCCAACTTAACGGAGAACTCAACGTACTTGATATAAATCGGATTAAATTGCCACTTTTGAGCATTGCCACGTCCGAAAGTGCAGGAACGATCGATAATACGACCTCGTGCACTTTAATTCGGGTAAGGAGGAGAAAGCAGTCGTATACATCGCGGGGCGCATTGCGGCGCGGACGCGACGGTGCGGGGAAAGTAAAACGGGCCGAGACCAGACGTCGTCGGCGGGGGTTGTTAAAGCCCGATGTATGAGCGGTTTTTAAACGTCTTTCGAACATTTTTCAGCATTATTCGGGAGAGCGGAATCCAATCTTGGAAAAGTCAAAAGAACCAGGAGTCTCGGGGCCTCAGCAAAATGGCAGTCTTGTACTCTTAAGTCACAAGACAGCTGCTGTGCGTTACTTTAAGACAGAGATTTAAAACATGAAGCATTGTCTTGCGAGTACAAGACAGCCATTCCGTTCAGGCCCTAAAGCCGGTATTAGATTTGTCGTACGGCAAATTTTTCAAGCATGTTGATTGGTTCCAGGACAGTAAAGTTCTCGAGTATCTAGAAATTTTCTATCCTGCAGCCAATCAACGTACTTAAAAAATGTGTCGTACGACAAATGCAATGCCAACCTGAGGGCCTGAGCAGAATGGCTACGGAGTGTCTAAAGATGATTCTAAGACGGTCTTGAATATAGGATCTGACTATGAATACCGACCTGTATGTTTGAAAGCTATCACAGTTTGCATTAGCGGTAGTAGAACAAGCAAATGCCTCAAACGCGTTTTCGAAGTCTGCCTCCCCTGCGTTACGCAGACGCGACTCGATCGGCTGTCTTGCACTCTTAAGACGTAAGACAGTTATTGTGCGTTACCTCAAGACAAAGGCTTAAAACATAAAACGTTGTCTCAAGGCTGCCTTAAGGCTTAAGGGTATAAGACGGCCATTCTGCTCACAGGCCCTTAGACTGACAAATATGTCGGCGCGCAGTTCTATTTCGAATTTAGTCACGATATGCGACTTTCGTGAAATAACGTTGGACTGTTTATTGCGATAAATATTAACACACGCCTCGGTGGCCGAATTGGTGAGACGCCCGCCTAGTGCC